TCTCATTGCCGAGTAGTTGTGTCCATCAGTCATGGGTGCTTTGAATCATTTGGCTATGTTCATCATAAGGACTGCTGCTGTCATTAGCTCTGTTTTTTTTTTATTTGCACAGTTTTTTTGATGGCATAGAAAAAAAAACCCATACTGATAACTGTAGAACCGTTGATATCAGTAAACTATTCTTCTATGTTTACGCATGGTTGTGACGAAAACCATTAACGACTGAAGCAATCGACCGTTTTCCTATATTTAGGCTAACACATTGTATCATGTCCCGTCAATTATATAATTTCACAATTTGTTGCGCTTAATGCCGAACTTGAGTGCTGAGTACATTTTAGATTAAATGGTTTACGGAAGTCATGCTATCATTTTTTTCAAATGTATGTGAGGAGGAGGGGGGGGGGGGGGGGGGGAATTTCCGAAGCCAGTTTTGTTGGTCTAAAATTGTTCCAACTGTTCAAATGTCCAATTTACAGAAAACCTCAATNATGCCGAACTTGAGTGCTGAGTACATTTTAGATTAAATGGTTTACGGAAGTCATGCTATCATTTTTTTCAAATGTATGTGAGGAGGAGGGGGGGGGGGAGGGGTGGAATTTCCGAAGCCAGTATTGTTGGTCTAAAACTGTTCCAACTGTTCCAATGTCCAATTGACAGAAAACCTCAATGTAATATAGTGAACTATACAACCAGAACTCACTCTGACTTTGGGTCCCAATTCCGTTTCTCTATCGCTGACTGGTTCGTGAAGGCTATCATGTGTCACGGTGAACAAGAGAAATATCTATGATAGCAACAGCAGGAGCAGGTTGGAAAATCCGTGTTCAATGGATGACGTCATTAACACAACGCGGAGCCGTTTCCTTTTGATCCACGGGGATGACGTATTCTACAGCTACAGGCCCTCAAGTGACGTCATCCGGGGGTTGGAGTTCGCCGTCTGCTTCCTCGTGATGCCGTTGGCGTCATTGCTTGGCGTGGTCGGTAACATTTCCAGCTGCGTCATTCTGTACAGTCACGGGCTGCGGCGCAAGTGCTCCAACATCCTCATCTTCTCGCTGGCCGTGGCGGACACCCTGTATCTGGTGGGAGCTAACAACCTCGGGCTGCGGCGCAAGTGCCCCAACATCCTCATCTTCTCGCTGGCCGTGGCGGACACCCTGTATCTGGTGGGAGCTAACAACCTCGGGCTGCGGCGCAAGTGCTCCAACATCCTCATCTTCTCGCTGGCCGTGGCGGACACCCTGTATCTGGTGGGAGCTAACAACCTCGGGCTGCTCCTTCACTCGAAGCTGGGCGGCGTCCAGGACCTGGGATTCCACACAACACCGGACCTGGCCAAAGTCCTGCTTGCTTGTTTCATTGTCCAGAACTGCTCGAAATACTTTGGTCTCCTCGTGTCCAGCATTCTACCAGCCGTCATTACATTTGAGAGAACTGTCGCCGTCGTTTTTCCGTTCCATTTTCGGCGAATTTTAACCCCTTACAGACTGCGTGCGGTTGTGGTGGTGATGTACGTGATATACCTTCCTTTGAACATCTACCACTTCCTGTTGTACAGGCTAGAATGCAGCTCGGATGAAGGTCATCCTGAACATGTCTGCTTCATATTAAAAACATGATTCTACTTGGATCAAGGACCCATGATAAGTGTTTGTAACAGGATCTACTTCGTGTTAACCGGACCAGTTCCGGTTTGCTTTGTTCTATTCAGATGTGGATTTCTAAGGGCGAACATCGAACACGCTTCACGAAATAGACGACGCATACAAAATAGTGCAACACGTGATTCTGGCGAAGAGGGGTTAGTTTGTAACCCCATGAGAAAAATGTGTTTGGGACTTAACTATTTTTTGTGCAGGTGCTACAAGCGTACTATTGACTCGATTGACTGCAGGACCCTTGACCCGGTCGAATTCATGACAGGATCAGAGTACGGGGAATCATGTCACCAGATACAAACTATTTCACACAAAAACGATTTAAAGCTTAATAATTCAACAACATCCCATATGCCCACCGATCCAGTGACAACGCATATGCCCACCAATCCAACAACAACATTCCATATGCCCACCAATCCAACGATATCCCATATGATGCCTAGTCATGACAGTACAAGAGTCACGACTAGACATCAGTTAAACAGTACAAGAGTCATGACTAGCCATCAGTCAAACAGTACAAGAGTCATGACTAGGCATCAGTCAAACAGTACAAGAGCCACGACTAGACATCAGTCAAACAGTACAAGAGTCACGACTAGGCATCAGTCAAACAGTACAAGAGTCACGACTAGGCATCAGTCAAACAGTACAAGAGTCACGACTAGGCATCAGTCAAACAGTACAAGAGTCACGACTAGGCATCAGTCAAACAGTACAAGAGTCACGACTAGGCATCAGTCAAACAGTACAAGAGTCACGACTAGGCATCAGTCAAACAGTACAAGAGTCACGACTAGGCATCAGTCAAACAGTACAAGAGTCATGACTAGGCATCAGTCAAACAGTACAAGAGTCATGACTAGGCATCAGTCAAACAGTACAAGAGTCATGACTAGGCATCAGTCAAACAGTACAAGAGTCATGACTAGGCATCAGTCAAACAGTACAAGAGTCATGACTAGGCATCAGTCAAACAGTACAAGAGTCATGACTAGGCATCAGTCAAACAGTACAAGAGTCACGACTAGGCATCAGTCAAACAGTACAAGAGTCATGACTATGCATCAGTCAAACAGTACAAGAGTCATGACTAGGCATCAGTCAAACAGTACAAGAGTCACGACTAGGCATCAGTCAAACAGTACAAGAGTCACGACTAGGCATCAGTCAAACAGTACAAGAGTCATGACTAGGCATCAGTCAAACAGTACAAGAGTCATGACTAAATATCGTATGGTTTTGAAAATAGGCTGCTTCTCATTACAAGCGAAAGTCTTACTTCCTGATGTTTGAAAGATGCCCTATTATTATTTTTATGTATTATTATTTTTGCAACCTCATCAGTTTAAATACTTAACACAGCATTGTATTAAGTTTGCATCAATATTAAGGTCTTTAATTTTAAGGTAGTTCTTGCTAAGTATCAAACATTTGAAATCTTTTCTTCAAATTATATTTCGTCATAAAATCATAGCTTCTAAACTAGGGTTAATTCAAAATGGTATGATGTGATAATGATTTTTTAAAAAAAATATATATATATTAGCATATTAAAAGTTCTCGATTCGATGAATGTTGAGCTAGATAGAATGAAAACTTTAAGAAACCGATTGTAAAATAATAATAATAACAATAATTACGAATTTAATGGGCACACACTAAAAGTGCAAGTTTCATCAAATATTATTAAACAGAAAGCGTTTGTATTTTCTTTGAATGTGGGCCATTTTTGTGGCACAGTTTCCTGTATAACAGACAGCAATTTAAAATAATAAGCCTTTTTTTTTGTTTTTTTAAGTTCCCAACTGCTTTTCTCCTTTTAATATCAGAATAATAAAGAATCTGGCCCAACTGTTTATTTTTATTATTATTATTATTATTATTTAAGCACAATTTTTATTGATGAGAATCCAGTCAGTTCGGCATTATTTTCCATATATTGAAGATCGGCATTTTCGGCCGCCTGGAGATTTTTTTTTTTTTTGGTGTGCAATGGGGCTTGGCATCCCCGGCGGCAATAACCTTGGCTACTCCACTGCGTCTGTCGCTTGACCTTTCGAGGCCCCCAGCTTTTTTTCGGTTTGTCACCCTTTCCCTTTGCATTCAAAGTTGATGATTAAAAAAGTGTCCACTTCACAACTCTGAGCCCTTTAAATATCCAAGGCCCCAAGTAGCCACGTCACGGCTCTGAGCTAAAAGTGACACTTAATTTTTAACTAGCATCTCTCCTGATGCTCTCAGATTAAATGTAGAATGATGCAAAATAAATTCGAATATGTGCTAAAATGAATTCTTGCATTTTGAATTTATCAAAAATGTTCTGGGGAATGAGCACTGTCTCCAGACCCTTCCTTTGCTCTTATTTGGGATTCTTCGCCACTCTCAATGTCTGATCGCTCCTTTCCCCACGCCTATCATTGTGAAAGTACCGGGTTGTATCAAAGCTTGTGTCACAAGGTTACCATAGGGCACGAAACAACCGGACTAAATTCAGTTTGTGTATGGCACTGGGCACCGTAATGCCTAATTTGCATGCTGATAGATGCCATTCCACCATCCACCAAAAACTTTTCGCACAGGAGCCATCGGTGCCCTCGATTTCTGCCCCTTCCCGATTAAAATTGTCAGTGAAGATGGCATTGATCACAAATTTTGTGCTGATAAATACACTGGCTAGTGGCGTAGCTAGGATAGTGGCGTAGCTAGGATAGTGGCGTAGCTAGGATAGTGGCGTAGCTAGGATAGTGGCGTAGCTAGGATAGTGGCGTAGCTAGGATAGTCCCGCCCTGGGAAGAGTTTTTCCGCACGCCCTTCCACGACACAAACTCTGCAGTTATCCAAAAATGTCACCTCTCCATGTAAAAAAAACAACTTACACCTGGGCGAACAACCCCCATCCGCACCCTTGCTATACCACTGGCACTGCTCACCCTAACATCTGAAATGCAACCCCAACCCGGGACCCGCCCAGAAATTTGTCTGAAAAAGACACTGATAATGAGTTTTGATACTTATAGTCCAGAAAAACTTCAAATCCAATTTTTAAGGGTTTGTCACTGAAAAAACCAATAAAACAATAAAAACAACAATCATGAGTATACCTAGAGATCTCTTGGTGTTCTGAGGCTATTTATACCTCTGTAAGACTTAACTTCAAATGCAAATTTTGAGGGTTTGCCTTTAGAAAATTAGTTTTTTTTAATACTAAGGGGAAGAGATTAATTTAGAAAAATACGAAACTAATTTATTTGTGACCTCCCTTTATAAATAACACGGCTCTCCAACGTCAGAATCAATGTTGTTGCCACTTGCAACTAAAAATTCTGTACAGTGAATACTAAAACAACATACACATTTTTAGGGAACAACACCTGTTAACAGAAGATACAGGTGCAAAATTAGATTTTAATTATGTTTAAAATAATATTATGCAGAACAGATTTCGGCCATATTTCAATGTCTTTTAACTGTTAAAAAGGTGTCAAGTTTGAAACTGTGAGTGTTATTAATTAATTATTAATATCTGCAAACTGAAACCACTTGTCGCTCACACTGTGAGTACTACACTACGTCTACACTTGACTTATTTTAAGTCACTGACTTAGTTACACGACATTCTTTACTTAATTCTACGTCTACATACTTACACTTATAGTTTTGAGTACATTGTACAACCGTGTGTAAAAGCTGTGGAGTAAGAGAAACTTGCATCAAAATCAAAGAAAGATATTGTAGGCTGCTGTGACTGGGTTAAAATGGGTTGAGCAGCACATGGTTTTGACAATAAAAAATAATAGTTATTACTTTATTAATTATTTAGTTGTATCACCCATTAAGACTAAGTGCAGTTATCTTAGCTTAGACTAAGGGAATCTCAACACTGGACTTGGTCAAAGGCAAAGGACAAAAAGTTGGACCTGTCATTGTCATAAACCAAATCTGACAATCCATAATCATAAAATGTTATAAAAAATATTCAAACGAAATTTTCCCTTTCGTTTTTTATTAAAATTCAACTTACGAGGCTAACAAGGCTCAAAAGAAATAAAAAAGAAACTTACCCATGCTGTTACGCAAAAACAACCACTGATGAAAAATATTTGCGGTTATTTGGGCAGTGCTAAAAAAATGCTGTCTTTGATTATATTGAAAAAAGAAGTACCCATATTCCTTTCATTTTAATATCATTACCATGACGCGATTTTGACGTACATTTCAACAGACCCCTTCCCCATTTAAAGACAAAAATTAAAAAAGAAAAATAATTTGTAAAACTTGTGGGGTGAGAGAAACTTGTATCAAATAAGGACATAGCTCAAAATCCAAATCTTTTGAATGTGGAGTTTAAGCCAGAAGTTGACCTTAGGAACTCCTATGACTTACATATAGTGAAAGAAATGACCATCCATTCTGCTAACCAGTTCCTAGCCGGCTGCTGTAGTACCGGTATATAAAAAAAAGTGTATTGCTTATCATTAAATAGCCTACAGAATAGAATTTATACATTATTGCCCTATACTATTAATCTATTCACCTACAATTTTTTTTTTATTAAAGACAATAAGTATAAACTAAGACTAAATGATCTAAAAGAAAGTCAAAACTAACTGGACTATTGAATTATTCTACTATTAAATGTAAAATATTTCTGCTTTAACACTGCCTATGCCTAAGGGCCTAGGCCCTATCTAATGAAATAATTGATTCAAGAATTGAAATTTACAATAAACTCAAATTATTTTTTTTTTAAAACTTGTTTTGTAGGGGTAAGTTATGTATTCATTTCTTTTCAATTATACCTACATATCCTACAAGTTACAGGTAAATGTATTTGTAAAGTTACTCATCAAGGTTTTTATTCTTGTCTGGAAAGTTTAACAGTACAGAATGCATCCTGCTATACCTATATCCTTAGTGTTCTTTGGCTGCTGCAGCAATGTTATTTTCTTGGAGGAGCTTATTAAGTAAGTCTTGCTCTCCACTTGACCATGTAGACAACTTCTAATTTTATATTGAGAAAATCTTAATATAGATTAAATTTAAACTTTATCCAAGTATTAATAATAATTTTATTTTCATAATATTTATAAAAAATACATTTTAAACAATATCAATGATTTACATTTTTATTCTTAACTCCCTCTTAAAATATAATTTGTAACACTTTAATAAGATTGGAATACAAATGTGTTTATTATTGGATTCTGAAATAATAATTTTTTTATCTTTTAAAACTTTTTGTTCCAGAGTCTACCCACACAGTGGTAATACAATAACATTTTTTGCTTTTGTGTTCAACTGCTTTGAAGGATTATTCATCACAACGAAGTTTCTAACTAAGCCATCAGCTATACCACTCAAGTTCGTTCTTTTGCTATGAATAAAATTCTTCAACATATCAGGACTTACTTAAACATATTTATAGTAAAGCTTTAATAATAATTTACTTTGCTTTTTTGAATAATGGTTCCACTTTTAGATAATTATATTAGATAATTATTTTCTTAACAAGTTAAAATTATTTTTCACCAAAATAATTGGTTGTTTCATTTCTTTTTTTTTCCTCACCAGGTTTTATGTCTTGATGGTTATCTTCTTTTTCATTGTTCAGACTTTAAACAATTACACATTTGGCTTCAACATATCAATGCCACTGCATATGATATTTAGATCTGTAAGTTAACATTTGATTTTAGTCAAATCTACAAAGTCAAACATTGTCTGTTGTAGGCAAAATTTAACATTTGTAAATCCCTCAGAGATCATTTAACATGTTGGAGTGAGAATCACTGACAATAGATGACTTGTAAAATATTTCAAGCTGAAACTACATGAAATTAATATTTAACACTTGTCAAACTAATAATAAATATTTTCTTACTTCAGGGATCCTTGATTGCCAATCTCATCTTGGGCGTCATAATCATGAAGAAAAGGTAAGACGATTAAAGGTGGGACACATAAAGTTTTGTTATTTAAGAAAATTGGAGAAACGTTGATATTAAAATGTAAGCGATTTAATGAGTGGTCTTGAATTAGGACTAGATAGTTTATTTGCAAAATGCATGAATTACTGCACGGGTATATAAAATAGGAAAACTATTTTATACACTTACATGTTTTTTCAAGCGTTAATAATATCAATGGGTTATCACAATGTCCTAAATTGGGGCCTAATTGAACACAGTTTAAAAGATTTTTGTGTGAACACAATCAGATTAACATATCCAAAAAATTTTTATGCAACTATAACATCATTTTTCATATCTTTGACAGGCATACACTCTAGGTTATAAACCTTTCTTTGCCAGCTTCAATCTTGTTTGTGTGTGTGTGCTTGGACAGTGATCCCGTTGGTCCCCTCCTCTCCATTTACATGATTTTTTTTACATTTCCCTCTTCATCTCCCCTGCACTCTAGCTCCATCTTCCCCTTTCCACCAACAGCCCCTTTCTCCTGCTACCAAATCCATCTACTCTTCCCAGTCTTTACCTCTCCATACCTCTCATCATATTCCTTTCTCAGAAGTCATTTGTTTTTATTACTGAGTCCCTGTAGAACTATACGAGACGTAGTGGAAATAATTAAAAAACTCATAAGATGTAAGGGGAAAGCTTGAAATATATTTGTTGGCTTTTCTATGATTACCACTTCTAGAACCACTTGAGTTGTATTATTCTAGTTTTACTGGACATCATTTTCTCTGCTCTTCATAAGAATAGTTCATTTGAAATGTTTAATTACTGGTACAAACAAAATAAGTTTTAAACTTTTTGTTCATTAACAGCTTTATTTTTCATATATCACAAATTGATGTCCAGGTTTATTTGCTCTATTTCAGCTACAAGATCTCCAAGTATGTGTCTGTCTTCCTCATCACTCTAGGTATAGCTATATGCACCATTGCTTCAGCTAGTCAGAAAGTAAGTTTTTTTTGTTTTCAGAGTGCATTTTTTTAACCCCATCCAAAAAAAAATTGTACTTAGTGTTAGTTCTCCAATGCACTGATTCTTTTTTCAAGTCAAATGAAACCATTTGTTAAGAACTTGAAACAAAACATTTTTAGCAACACAAACAGATTTATGTAAGGAAAGGAAAGTTACAATATCAACAAGTTAAGGATCACTATTTTATTTTGAAAACTGAATTTTTACAATATGATCTATTTCTGGATTTTTCTTTGTTTTTTGCAAACATATTTAAAATGGATGATGATATTTCCCACAGGAAAAAATGGCCAGTCATACTGGAGATGCTGCCTATGATTACATGATATGGGTTATAGGTAAGTTATAAAATCTGGTTGTCAACCCATGGCTGGTGCATTGATTATTATAGTTGATCATGGTGCCTAGCATGTAACTACCAAAGACATACTACTGAAGTTTACCTCATTTCTCAAGTGAATTATTTTGTTTAGCATGAGTTAAGTTGTCATTTACCCTCTCCTAGCCTCTAAAATTATGAAAATAAATGCTTAAAAACTAGTATTTCATTTACTTATATTTTATTTCCTAGGTTTGTGCTTGCTTGTGCTGTCACTATTTTTATCAGCCAGAATGGGAATTTTCCAAGAGCAAACCTATGCACAGTTTGGTAAACATCCATCTGAAGCTCTGTTCTATAATGTAAGTTCTTGTGTAGTTTGTCTATATGGATTATGTTATTGAAACAAGATTGTGTAAAAAAATGTAATTCTCTACAAAGTTAAAGTAGTTCTTATCAAAATGAGTTTTGAAAAATGCCACTTCTTTATTATGATAGTTTCGCTTCTCAATTCTGAACAGCATTTTAGCTTTATAATTAATTCCTTAAAATTTTTATGCTGTTTTAATTTTTTTTAATCCCTGTTAATTAAGGCTGTCCATTTTCCGGAGGCTTAAAATTAAAATTTAATGCTTCCGGTATTTTCATTAAAAAAAAAAATTTGTATATTACGCGTGTGCATTTTTGGAAGCATAATATTAAAATTTTAACTTCCCTAAGTTTGCCTCAGTCTGAATGAATTTGTGTGTAATGCAGTTGGTCTAATATCTAGTTGAAAATGTAAAATTTACATTGATTTGAATTAATTATAATATTCTGTTATAAATAGGTGTAACAATTAAATGTCACATACTTAAAATTTGTCAAAAGTGATCCCGTAGACGACCATAATTAATTATAATAAAACAAATAAGTTAGTATCACCAAAAGGATCTCAGCAATACTTGTTTTACAGTTGTTAGTATGACACGGTGCAATAAGGCCTAAAAAGAATACAAATTTAAAATCATTACATTCAGTGGATTAAATATTTCTTAGTCTTCAACTATCTATGAAAATAACCATAATTTTAATTGAAACATTTAAATATTTTAAATCTGAATTTAATTAAATGTATACAACTTTTCTTATGAAGTATTGGAACAAGACATTCTCATTAACCAATAACCAGTGTTTTCTAAAAATGGCAGTGTTTTTACAGCTGATGGAAGGGGATATGAATTATATTAAACATTGTGGAGTGAATAATAGATTGTAGGTAGTACATTATTATTTTATATTTCTCATCCACTAAAGTAACTGCACTGACATTTGTGATGAAACTTTTTTCAGAAGAGCACCAAGGGAGTTGATTTATACTTAATTGTGTATAATAAAATATAATTTTTTTCATACATACATGTATTATATATTTACAGCACTTTCTGCCTTTACCAGGGTTTCTACTCATAGTGACAGACATCTATAGCACATTCAAAGACTTCAATAATTCAGGTAAAATAATCAACTGAAAGAGTGGATTACATGGTTAAATAACACTTAACTTGTAAGACATATTTAGTCATTTGAAGTTATGTCCTTCAATGATTAAAGAATTTTGTAATGGATTTCTTCACTAACAAAAATCTCAAACTATTCCTACCAGCTTTCCTCCCATGTATAGATTCCATATAATTAAGTGTTGTATTATTGCAGTACTGGTAGACCAAACTGAGCTAAACATGTGATATATTTTCGATCTCCCAGATCCTTACACCATCCCAGCTGTTGATGTTATAGTGCCCTGGGCATGGCTGTGGCTTTTCTTCAATACAGTGTCTCAGTATCCTTTGTATAATGATGAGAATTTGGTGCTGTATGACCTGTGGTAATTTATCATGTATTTTGACTATTATGTTAGTCCGCCTCAACAATGGATAAATGTCCTATTAGAATGGCCTTGAAGTTACCCTATAAGGCAAATATTTTTATGGTGAAGCAAAAACCATGGTTAATTCATTTCCTACGGTTTCTGACTGATTCCTTTAGATAGTCTTGATGTGTTCCGGGGCATTCAGACACAACTCTCTCTTTATTTAAAAATAGCAACGAAATCACACTTCCCTCGAGCCTTCAGGTGATGATGTGATCCTGAGTGATTTCAGTTTAAAAAAATTGATGATTTAATCTTGTTTCCCTTTCAATCTATCAGTGCTTTAGTAAATTGCGCCAAGTCTAAGGTGCAAAAAATAGATTTTTTGCTTGTTGTTATTTTTTGCCGTTAATATTATATTTTTCTTGAAACTAGAATGCATTGATCCTTAATATTTAAAAATTATTTAATATTACGCAACTAAAAAAAATTTTCACTAATATAAATCAATTGCAAAACGGGGTTACTTACCTTCATTTAGGAATACGGATTGAGAATTGAAGTAGCACAGTGATAGGGAATTGAGTTGAAATAACCCTCGGCCACTGTAGTTTGAGGACTGCTCCCAACTAGGATAAAAAAAAATTTGTCTGTTTATGACAAATCCACTTTGGTCTAAGTGGTTAATTAAAGGTGTCAGATAAAATCAATAACAAAATAAATAGTAACTTAAAGGTTAGACCTTGACAATCGGCCAATGCTGACGTGTAAATGGAGGCTAGATCTAATAAATGAAACTTGATGAATTAAGTCTCAAGGCATAATTTGATTACTTCTATCCCATTTCATTGCATTCCTTAATTCAGACTCTCAGATTTATCTGTATCAAGAGTGTTTTCATCCTGACTACAGAATGCACTTCACTAACTGTGACCTTGGTGGTGACCTTGAGGAAGTTTGTCAGCTTGGTGTTTTCCATCCTGTATTTCCAGAACCCGTTCACCTTGACCCACTGGGTGGGTGCTTCCCTGGTGTTCCTGGGAACTCTGATGTTTGTTGAGGTGCTGTCAAACTTTAGCCTGTATCGTAAGTTAGAGAACCTGCTGACTCCAGAGAAGAAGAAATTCAAGATTTAACAATGGGGTTTTAAGTTTTTACTGTTAATCTTAATGATAAAGTAACAGTATCTTTTATTTGTATAGTCTATTTTCATTAGCCATGATATTTGCTTAACAAATTCTTTACTATTATATTGAATTTTAAAAAATTTGTGTGATAAAATATTACTAATATAAAAATAACATGAAAAAAAAAAATTATAGTTTGCCTCTTTGTTCCCTTATTTTTAAACCTTTTAGTTAAAAATTTTATCTCAAATGTAGATCTTGTAATTTACATTAATTGGTTTCAGCTCAGAGAAAGATATTCAATCGTAAAATGTGCAATATTTGATTTGCATTTTACTAAATGGAACTAAAAAAAGTGAGAAGATCCTAATAATGTTGTAGAAGTTTGTATTTTAACATGCCAATATTTCTAGTTCTAATTTTTAGATTTGTCTGTTTATTGATTTCAACAGAGATGCCTTGTTGAATTGATCTGGTTTGTTTGCTTTAGCAATGGTATCAGGATTTTTTTTGTCAATACATTACTCAGATGATCTCACATAATATAAATAAGGGCACATTTGTTTATTATGCATAGGCTGGGAGAATGATTATGAATTTTGGAAGTACAGTAAATAAATATTTATACTTTGAATTGAGGGGGGAAGTTAGTCACAGCTGACTTTTTTTGTTTGTTTCCAAGTTAGTGACAGCAGGAGAGTTTGTGTTAGATTCAAAGATAAATTAGGGGAAAGAAACTTTAATTAAGGAAGCCTTATTTTGTGTGCTTATTTCTTTAAATCTAAATTTTTTGAAAATTGAATTTTCGTCACATATTTTGACATTTCTATTCAACTTCAAGTTTCTAGCAATCGAAACATTGTTCCTCAAAAAAAAAGTGATAAAAATTATTTTTAGATGTGTCTAATAGTCCCATACAATGTATGCTATCAATGAGCATGATGGAACCACCAATATTACTTTCTAGTATTTTCTGTTGTTTACTTCTTGACCTAGTTTACCATTGATAGTATTACAGATTATATAAATATAATATTATGTTTTCTAACTTAAGATCACTATATTAGATTTTAATAAAATAATTTAATTTTTATACTAAATTAGTTGTATCATTACAAGTAAAAAGATCAAGAAGGTGATAGTTATTAGATTCAACCACAGCTTATTATAAATTGATATAAATATAAGTTTCAGTGGTTGACATGTTGCTTTTATGTTGACTCATTGAATCAAAAAAAAATCTAAACTTATAAAACATCCAAGTCCAGATATTGCATAGGAGATGCTATTTCTGTTACAATATATTTATATTCTATATTTGATAATAGTTATAGTTATAAAATAGATATTTTTGTTTTTTCTGAAATTTGCAAATAAATTTATCAACAAATTTAATTAAAAAATCTCGGTGAAATTTCTTTCACACAATTTTTATTAACTTATTTATATTTCAAGAGAACTGACTTTGGTCTCTCTAATGCCCCTAGAAGTGTTACTTACTAGTCAAAATGAAAGAATATTACACTAAAGATTTATAGCTTACATTAATTTGCTATACTTTAATTTTATGATAATTATGATGTAGATCTGCTTCTCTCAACATACTTGTCTTAGTATGTAACCAGATTCATGTCTGACTCCACTTGAGTCAACTAGGACTAAATGAGTCATTTGTTGACTAAATGAGTTAAAATTGACTCTAACTCTAAAAATCTGATTATCACACATTCAGTATTGAATAATGAATGATACTCTTGAGATCAATATATTATTATCACTATACTATTATGTGAAAGCCTTTGAAAAGTGAGAGTTATCTCCCTTGAACAGAAAGTTTGATGACTAGAAAGTCATGGTTGTACCTCAAGCATTTGATTTTTGTCTGTTTTGTGCAGCCAAATCCCTAATGTGAGTCTTTGTGAATGCATAATATTTAAGATAGAATTATAATAATTCAAATTCATATCTTGCCAATGTTGCTCAATCTGGATGGACCTTGTGCAAATGATCATCCATAATTAGTTGTTTTAGTCAGCGTGTTCTGAATTTATTTGTTTTCTTCTCGTTGATTTCACTCATGATTTTATGGAATAATTGATCAAACTCAAATATCTCTGTCAAAGATTTACTTTTTGAGACTAGTTTTGCCGCATGGATCCCCAGTACAAATGGCTGAAGATTATCTTGCAGTTGTTGATAACTGTGCATCCTCTCCATCAAGTTTCAGAATGACCATATTATGTTGGTATTCTAAAATATCGGCTACGTTGGCGACTCTAAGCAACATTCAATATTAAGGTAAAAAAAAATGTCATCATTTCCTGGGACTACCAGAAGTCAGTTGATCAAAGCCTGTCAAGATGAGATGGATACTTCTAAACCCAAGGACTGGAGCTGACCTAGTACCATTCATTAGGACATTTCAGTAAAATTTTACAGTGAATTTAGTAAGTGTTGAAAACTTGTCTTAATTATCTGGAAATTTTTGTTACCGCGAAAATTGAAACACAACACAATGGCAGGTGACATAAACTTTTGAGAGGTTTGACTGATGTGCACCAGTTGTCACACAATGGCAGGTGACATAAACTGTTGAGAGGTTTGACTGATGTGCACCAGTTGTCACACAATGGCAGGTGACATAAACTGTTGAGAGGTTTGACTGATGTGCACCAGTTGTCACACAATGTATGTTTTAAATTTCATTTCTAGTCTGACTGTAACCTGAATATTATTTAACATCTGCTGTTCTCATCTGCTTCCAATAGAAAAGTTGATGGACTTGATGACCCTCCAAATGATGTACAAAACTCTTTAAATGTTCATCTTTTTTTTGTTAAAGTGCACTTCAGCAGGAGGCTTGTCCTGGTGCCCATACATTGCCCGGGCCAATAGTTGTCTGCTTCCTTGTATTGTAATAGTGTTTCCCCCTTTTAATTCTAACTTAATGCACGTTGCATGGCTTAAAGACATAAGCTATAGGCCCTGTCATTTGGTCCCATAGCTTAAATAGCTTGCCCTGCCTCCTGTCCCCCCAAAAAAAAGTTTTGACCATATTATAGTATAGTTTTGCTGGCTCCACATAAACACTAGGTATCAAAAAGTGGCTAAACTAACAGCATCACAAATTCAATGGTCAATCAGTGTTCAATGAAAACAAAATAAATTTTTTTTACCAAACAAGTTGTCTTGCTTACTTAAATGTTTGTTTTGTTTTTTCAATTCCTAAATCTGTGTTTTCTTTTATACGGCTGCTGCCAAATGCATGAGATTAACGCATTGTTCCTGGTTTAATCGAGTTTCGCGTTCAATACCATAAAAGTTTTAAATGGATTTCGAAAATACCAGATTCCTTGAATAAATAAATCATTTTTACTGTCTGATTGTTTAAAAATTTGTTATGTGAAACTTTTATGGGACAAACCATCGTTAAGTAAGCATCATTATGAAACTGTGAGAAGATCATTGAACTGTGTATGTTCACCTGGTACAATGCTGGTTTGAACTAAATTTTGGAGGTGAAACTAGCAGTAGCACAAGTTCTAGCATGGTTGGTTTTATCAGACGTGATTTTAAAAACAGAATGGCTAAAGTCAAGTAAGATTTTTTTTTTGAAACACCAGGTTGGTTTCTAACTGATAATACGTTTTCACACCTTATGATAAAGAAACTTTCCTCTTTAGGTGTCAATTTAAATATTCAGGCTTGGATACTGAACTTTTTAACAAATCGACCACAATATGTCAAAGTAAATAACCAAGTATCTCTAACTAGAGAAATAAGCACCGGGGCACCACAAGGCTGCGTTCTCTCTCCTGTACTGTATACCATATATACAAATGATATTCAAAGCTCAAGCGACACCGTTCCAATCTTAAAATTTGCTGATGATACCACCATTGTTGGTTTAATATCTGAAGGAGAAGGCATAGACCGCAACTTAGTTACGAGCTTTATCAATTGGTACGATGAAAATTTTCTCCAGTTGAATGTCTCAAAAACTAAAGAAATGGTTGTTGATTTCAGGAGGGGGAAACACCAGATTACAGATCTCAACATAAAAAATCAAAATGTGGAGAAAGTGGAGGCATACAAGTACTTAGTTGTCACCATCAATAATAAGCTAACATGGCATGAGCACGGCCAAATGCTGTATAAGAAATTCAACCAAAGACTGTTCTACCTCAAAAAAACTGTACAATTTCGGCGTAACAAGCAAGTCGATAACTTATTCTACAGTGCAACTATTGGAAGCCTCCTTAATTTCAATATTACCTGCTGGTGTGGGAATTCAACATCTGATATTAAACATCGCAAAAACAGACTAATCAAGAAAGCTAGGAACATAACACAAACTAAACATCCTTTACTTGAAGAAATATTTGAAGAAAGATGTTTTTGCAAAACTAAACACATTTTGGATGATACATCTCACCCTCTTCATCACAGATACTTAGGATCGGGCCGTTCGGGACAAATTCTTTCCATCAGGGCGAGGACTGACCGATCTAAAAATTCTTTTGTTCCCCAATCTGTAAAAATTTACCGACATGCTTCCTCTGAAGTCACAGATCTGAATGAGAACTAATAAGTCCCCGATTTTGCTAAGAGAACTCACTGAATGGCTGTTTGAAATAATTTATTATAAATGTCTTGTGTTCAAATTGTTTTATTTTTTAGCTGAAAATGCACAATGCAATCAAAAAACATTTCCATTTATTTGGATCAATAAAAGAATCTTATCTTATCTTATTTGGCAAATATTTATTATTAGAAATAACAGAAGAAACATTGTGTCACTCATTTAAGTTTGGATATCACTGACATTTCAACATGCCAATCAAAGACAGTTTCTACTTAATGATTATCTATATTATATTATATTCAAACCCTATCTATTACACATATTACAACTGCAGGCAATTTTGGATTAAAGAACTAATTCTCTTCTTAGACTTAGAGGTCACGTGTCATATATTTTAATTCTATATGTGTCAAACAGCATCAACTTTATATATGTATGAAATGTCAGTTTTATTAAATCAATACCGGGTATACTACAAATGTAAAATAAAGTTGAAAACAAAAAACAAGCAGAAAACAAGATCCAAATGAAAATTTATGTACAATTAATTTAAATCAAACAAAATTTGAAATCTTATAATAGAATCTTAATTGTTCTTGTCATACATATAATGTTCATTACTTGTAATTGAGGACTCCCCAATCCTTTAAAAACCTTATTTTAAAATTTATGGTTAAAAATTGGCCCTTATTTAATGTAAAGTGATTGTATACTTCCAAATGAATCCCTAAATTTAACCAGGGTTCAAATTTCAAAACACAAACTCAGATTAGTTGGATGATCTAACTTTAAAATTTAAACATTTATTAATCCTTAAGTAAAACACTTCAAAAAATATAATTTAAAATTTTAATCTTCAGTGTCACAAAATAATGCATTTGAAAATTTTAAATTAAAGAAAAATAATTCATGCATAATCTTACATCTGGAGCATTCTGATGGAACATTTAAAATAAAAAGGGAATTTTTTTAAATACCTTTAATAAATAATTTATTTATTTGAGAATTAAAACATATCAACATCATAACAAACATTATCTTAGCAGAAGTAAACAAAAAGAGGTTAAAAAAGTGATTCCTTTCATCTAAACATTTATTCCCAACCAAAAAACACTTTCCCTCTTTCAGCATTCTCCCTTAAAGTGAGTCTAGGTCCACCAATATCTTTCTTCTCCAGTCTTCCCCATCTAGAGGGTGGCCATAGAACATGAGAAGCTTTTGATGTGATCAGACCAAGTGATACCTGTAGAAGACACCATGGCAAAATAAACTGCTACTAGAAACATACAACTTGCCATCAATGTATAATCATATAATGATGAACTTTTCTCAGCAAAAAATTGACTGCCAAGTCTTTCAAAGAATTTATAAATAAAAAAACATTTATACATAAAGAAAACATACATGTTTGTTTAAGAAGGTGACTTATTCAGTATTTATTAAGACTAGCCCAATATTTATTGAGCCTAGCCAATATCTACGGCACTGTCCTGAATTCTATTGTGAAAAAAGATTTTGCAGCCTTTTAGCCAACATTGAAATTAACCGTCACCATATCCCATGGGAGGAATTCACCTATTTTGTGTTTTAAATTTCACATATTATTTGCATATTATTTGGCCTAGCCTTGGCCTTGGTAAATGCCTTATCTACCCAGCGTATTATATGGGCACAAAAATGCGATTCCAATGGACTTTATGGGTCAAAAAATAAAATCAGTATCTTTTTAATTACTCTGTAGGTGGGCAGCAACCAGTTACAAACATAGGAACAAAAATCAAATCCTAAACAATTACATAAACCTTTAACCTACTACATATGACTGAAGAAAAACGAACACACAAAAAAACCTGTTAAGTCAAGGGATCTATTTTAATCATGGGGAACTGACTTACTGATTACTGTTCTTGCCACAGCAGAATATCTTGAAAGTAGGCAAAGAGAACAGATTACCAGTTTTCGGCAATACATTCCACACAAAATGGGATACCATTTCCTGCTAGATCCCATTCCTTTCCTCTGTAGGATCCCAATTCCAACTGGAACACATACTCAGTGAGATCCCATCCCATGAAGCGATCCTGATCCCAGTGGGATCTTGTTACCCGGGGGATACCATTCCCCAGTGGGATCCCATTCTATAGTTTATATAAGGATAAAATAAATTGGGACTCCCAGCCCTGAAGGAGTGGATATTATGATTTTAAAACCCATCAGTAATTGAATAAGGATAATCAAGTGTACTTGTACCAAGTTTGGTATAGATCCATCAACCCATTCAATAGCTATGTTAGAAAAAATATTTATAGAGCTCATATTTAAGAAAAAAACAAATTTAGGGCCCCTGGCCACAAATTGGAAATTTTCATAACAACACCCAGTATTCATTCTGGATAATGATGGATATGTGTGCCAAGTTTGGTCAATATCCATCAATCCATGTAGAAACATTTGCGAAACAAACACCCAAACAAACAAATTTTCACTTTTATATACATGACAATGATAGGATATTATCTGATAAAAAGTGGGGATACATTTTCTGATATGCCACTTTTTTGTTCTCCTTTAGATTTCAAAATTAAACTTATCTTAGAAAATACATCTGGGATCTACCATTTTATTTTTGGTGGAAAGATTAAAAGCTCTCTTGAGACTATGTTGTGTAACAGCTATGGGTTCTTTTGAACTCAACAATAACAGATGAAGGTATAGAATGATACCCAAACCAAACTATTTATACTTAAATCAAATCATACACATCATGGAAATTAATAGAAAATAGTATAAAATATGTAGTTAAAATTGAATAACTACATTAAATGAGTATTGTGAATGACTTACTGGACCAAAGTTGTTGCTATCCAAGCTACAATCATGATTATCTCCCTCTACCCAGATGTGACCCTTGGGTATGTCCACAGTTTCTTCAAAGCAGCTGGCAGCTCTGCAGAGTAATAAGTTTACATAATTGTATATCTTTTCAGTCATTTATAAAGTTATTGTTTCTAGTAGACATACTGTGAGTGCGGTCTTAAAGTCAGACGATAGCCTTTTCCTCAACATGCTCATACTTCTATGGGGATAATATATGAGGAACTGCTTCAAGTTGTGAGAAGTAAATAGTGAAACAAGATATGTTTAGACTTGAAATGAAAAGACAGGACAGTTAAAAAGATGTTTTTTCTAGATGCCTTCTCCAGCAGACAATACAATACAAGAAACAACAAAAATTAAAAAAAAACAAAGTCTTAGAAACTCTGAAAGTGTCAATTCTAACACATACTTTTTTAAAATTCTAATTCGACCACTATTTTCTTTTTCAAAATACTTCTCCAAATCCAGCCAGCTAAAATTGTTTCTGCATCATGCTCTAACTCTACCTGCGCTGTGTCCACCAATAATTGTTTCTACATCATGCGCTAACTCTACCTGCGCTGTGTCCACCAATAATTGTTTCTGCATCATGCGCTAACTCTACCTGCGCTGTGTCCACCAATAATTGTTTCTGCATCATGCTCTAACTCTACCTGCGCTGTGTCCACCATAATTGTTTCTGCATCATGCTCTAA